TGAAAAATATGAAACACAAGATGACAATGTATGATTAGCTACTCAAAAGAGTACTGCTGTCCAACATCAGAATCATTGTTAACAATTTATTGTTAACACAATGTAAGAGATAACAATGAACGTTAAAAGTTAACAGTTAACAGTTCATTGTTAACACAATGGAACAGAGTCTGTTGCTTTGTTGACAATACAGGGTTGAAATTTGTATTGTCCAGACTTGAAATACATACAAATTTCAACAATCTCAGAAGACAAAAAACAAAAATGTAGCCAGACTTAGCATAAACTTCCGAGAGCAAACAAAAAGCAACAAGTGATTTAAACAAAAATCCAACTGATCTAAATTACAGCCAAGATTAAAGCAACAACACATTATCAGATATGTAGCACATATGATAAAATCCAACTAATCTAAATTACTTGCAAGGAAGATAATTAACATAAACACTGTACCTCATACAAAATAGCAATTGAAACTGAAACCCTAGCTTTAGTTCATGTTTTAAACTCAACCAAAATATTCTTCAAACTCATACAGTGGATTAGAATTTCGCATCTCCAATTTGTAAGAAACATAATCAGACCCGTACAATATGTTGTTCATAGCACAAAGATTCTTCAATTTTCACGAAGAAAATGCAAAAATCGAAAGTGACAGGTTAATAACTTATGATTGCTGGAAAATGGTCGTACCTCTCACTGCACTGCCGTCGGGTTTATTCTCGTAGCACTCGAAGGGACGTCGTCGACGGTCGTATTCCAGTAGTCGCGGCTTGTCGGCGAGAGCGAAGTGGTCCTCTCGTATCCAAGGAGTCGCGGCTTGTCGCGCAGAATTAGGGGAATGATGTTTGGAGAAGGGAGGAGTACACAGAAGGGAGGAGTCGCGGCTTCTCGTCGGGAGTGAAGATAGGATCTCGTCGGTCGCGCAGAATTAGGGCAAAATTGGTGTCGAAGAAGAAGGAATAAATCGAGTTCGGTGGGGATTTTTTTGATCGAAGAAAGAAGAAGGGCAATATCGTATTTGGATTGTATACCATGTCAGTTAATCCTTCTAAGTAAATGAGGGATAGATTTATGAAAATTCCATCTCAAAAAGTAAACAAAGGACTAAATGCTGACATGGAAAGTGATATTGATTAAATTGTCTTATCCCATCTTGCAAAGTAAACGACCCCGAAATATATTAATTACTTTCATTTTTAATTGCATACCCTAAAATGTCACGTCATACCAAAGAGTGACGGAACTAGTATACCACCTCATATAAGTCATTTCAATAAACAAAATTATATTTCTAATTTATACTGAAGTAATTAAGAAAAATTGTATTTGTACCTTAAAAGAAAAAAAGCAAATCAATTAAAATGAACAGTTGCCAAGAACCCTGCTCATTAAACAATGAACTGTCTCAGCTCCTTTAATAATCAAACAAAAATCTGAATTCAAGTTCGGGTCTTGTAAACTTGGTTCCACTCATTCAATAATCTAAAATCTAAACCAAAACTCAAAACTCTAACCGAGTTGATTGGAAACATGCCCGATTCAACTTGATTGATAAACAATAGCGATTAGTTGTTCGAGCTTGACTTGTTTATGTATACAAACAAATCGAGCTTCAACTTTCTCAATACCAAACTATGCTGGTAAACAATACTATCAAGGAAGCAAATAAAACCAAAAACAAAACAAAAGTTAATCCAAAATGTAGGTACCTTTTATTAAAAAAAAAAAAATGTATCATCACTGTTTACTGCTCATGAACAAAAAAAAACCATATCATTGAATTATGAGAAATATGAAAATAAAAATTCCTTCACTCAACTTGCATTATCACTTGATTTTTCACTTCTCTCGTCTAATCAATCGATAATGTCCTTAAACACAATATCCATGTTGTGAGGCAACTCACCTAGAATGGGAGAGTGCCACATGTTCGGGTAGAGCTTGAAGGTCTTATCTAAACTGAGAGCCATTTGATACAGGAGTTGACTCACAGACGGATCTGTGGCTTTGTCTTCACCACCGTGAAGAACAATGAACGGTAGTGATACCTCCTGAAGCCGCCTCTCTAAATCCATGCTCACTTTCAGTAGCTCAAATCCAGTTTGCATAGGTGGCCACCTTTGAAGCACAATGGGATGTGGCTTCATCTCATCAGAAATCTGCATCAAAGTTAATACGACATAAAAAAATAAAACAAAAAATAAATAAAATCACTGTGGGTATAAGAATTCTCGACAACTACAATCCTATCTTTTGAAGTAGAAATAAAAAAATTTTAAACGGTAACATATGCAATTGGACCTAACATGTTGGAAACAACGTGTGCAGTTTACCGTTTATTTTTACTACTGTTTTGTTAGAAAGAAATGCATGCAGTAAACTTAAATTTACATCGGAAAATATTGGTATATAAAAATTGGCGTAATCCGGGGCATGAGTGCAAAAGCATCAATTGCAAATGGGCCAATGGCCTGATTTGAGTCTAAAAGATTTGGAGAGTGCTCGAATTAAACACGTAATGATGGCTAATGCAACTTCACATACAAACTCTAAGTAGTGTATGGCAAACCTTGCACATAGAGGTGCTATCAGCACAGCCATATCCCAATAATCAGGCTTTTTTCCGTGCAGGAGAAGAACTACGGCACCACCCATTGATTCCCCCATAAGAATCCTCTTCTTTTTCTTGTTTTCTTCCTTTTCTGCATTAAAATTAACTAAATTGCAATGTTTTTTACAGAGTGGAAAAAATGAAACTCACAACCTAGTTATATATTATTATTATTATTATACAAGCTCGATATTATAGTAATCTTTAGCATTTCAAAAGTAAACAAACTAAAATTTCAATGTACATTACCTTCAGTGATGCTACAAAAGGATGCTACAAAAGGATGGCGGCATTGATGAAGATGTTAGACATAGAATTACAGCCGGTTGGTTGAAATGGCGTCAAGCTTTGGGCGTTCTCTGTGATAAGAGAGTGCCACAAAGGCTAAAAGGTAAGTTCTATAGGACGGCGATTCGCCAGACGATGCTATACGGTGCTAAATGTTGGCCTACAAAAAGACAAAATATTCAACAACTAAGTGTAGCAGAGATGCGTGTGTTGCGTTGGTTTTGCGGACACATAAGAAGGGATAGAATTTGGAATGAGGATACTCGTGATAGGATCGGGGTGGCTCCAATTGAAGAGAAATTGGTTCAACATCGACTGAGGTGGTTCGGACATGCCCAACGGAGGCCTCCTGATGCACCGGTGCGTAAGGGAGTTCTACAGTGGGTCGATGACGTTAAGAGAGGTAGAGGTCGGCCTAAACTGGCCTCAACTCACTTGGGAAGAGTCGGTTAAGAGAGACCTTAAAGATTGGAATATCTCCAAGGATTTAGCGGCGGATAGGAGCGCTTGGAGGCTAGCAATCAACGTGCCAGAACCGTGACTTTTGCTACTTTTTCTTTTGCTCCAATCTCTTCCTTTTGTTTTGAGCCTTTTTGTGTTTCTCTTACCATTGGCTCTCTTGAGTTTCATCTCTAGCCTACCCCAACTTGCTTGGGACTAAAAGGCTATGTTGTTGTTGTTGTTGTTGTTGTATTACCTTCAGTTTACCCTTATTGTAAAAAATTCAGAACCTCTCCCAAAATTACTATTATCCTCTTAACATATACATGTTTATCTTATACAAAACAATGGACCTATTGAAAGGGTGTCGAGCTGAAGAAAATAACCCAGTTTTTTTAGCAAAGAATAGTAACGGAAAGAATATTTGTATAAATTAAACAAGCATCAAAGAGGTATTCCATGTATATTTGTAATACGTCTACAGGCTGTTGCCATTTTTTTTAAAACATATTAACTAAATATCATCTCTATTCGAATGTTCTTTACAAATTAAAATTGTAAGTTCCAACAAAATTGACATTTACCACAAATGCTGCTGAAGTGATAACAACGTCATTAACAAGATCATCAAAGCTGGGGATGTAACATCGAAGCCCATCCGACTTCCCATGGCCTTCGTAATCGATGCCATAAACCGCATAACCCGCCTTTGAAAGCGAATAGCAGTCTGTTTATGTAATACTTAGAAGTACATTCAACTTTATTCTACTTAAAATTTTCACATAACATGTAAATTATAAGAATTAATGCATGGTGCACGATCATATTATGTGTTACGTACCTCTCATAGTAACGCTGCATTCCATGAAATATCCATGGCACAGGAAGATTAGTCCTTTGGGCTCCGAGCTTACAGGCAACCAGCTGCAAGTAAAAAGCTTGGTTCCTCTTGAATTCATTATGAATTTCTGGAAGGGAAAAGTTCTTCGTTAATTAGATTAGTTAATATTTGTTCCGTAAACTATCTTTAGGAAAGCGAAAGTTATTATCATTACAGATTATGTTACCTCTTCATATTGAAAGCTGGTTATCTCAGATTCCTGCATAACTTAAGAAATCAGAAGCGCATACGGCCAAACAAAGTCTAAGAAACAAAACGAACAGTAGATATCATACGATACACACTACAGGAACAAATTCCCCGTTCATTCATAACGTATATAACGAAGGCAAAAAAGAACAGTTACCATCAAGAAAGCAGTCAAGTGGTGTTATTCTGATGAAATTCTTTCGACAGATTATGTAACTTTGTAAGAGAGAATTATATATCAACGAAAATGTGTGGGCGAAACATGTTAATATTGTAGCGAGTGTTTCTGAAGTTAATGTACTACAGAGAGTGATTAAGTTTTGCTAGGCAGGCAGGCATATTTTACAAGCTATGAACAGATTACTGGTGCTAATCACTTCAATGGCAGTGCACACAATTTGCACTTTCTCCTTTTCTACGAGAACAAGAAGGAAATTTACATATGATAACCAGAAAACAGAAAGACCAAACATAAAAATAGACCTTTTTCAGGTGACATCGGACGCCATTGGATCCCAGAGCAAAGTAGCGAGCAACAGGAGATTAGGCACGACGATCCCTATCAAAGGGTGTACCTTAATCCCCAGCCTCTCCCTCCTCAACCTCCGCCGCACGTACCTTATCCTCTCCTCCTCGCCCCATCGCGCCTCTTCTAAACCCTTCGCCGGAACGAGAGGCGGCGGCACCTGGTACGGGCATTTGGACCGCCACGAGGTCTCGGGAAGCCCGAACCTCGACGCCTGCTTCAGGAACCGGAGGACGGCCCACTTCACGAGCGGCGGAGGAGATGGGCCGGCGGGGGATCGGCGGCAGAGGAGCGGCGGGTAGTCCCAGTGGATGTAGCAGGGGATTTGGGAGGCTATGAAGAGCTGGGAGTGGAGGGACGGCGAGGTTGTTGGGGTGGTAAAGATGTGGGTCATGGCGTGGATCTTTTGATCCCAGCTCGTGTTATCCATGGCCTGGAATTTGGAGATTTTTGATCCAGAATGTGGCGAGGTAGATGAAGCGATAAGTGAGATTTGGATTTGGGATTATCTTATTCATAGAGAAAAATAACAAAAAAACAAAATGGAAACACAAAGAGATGCTATGATTTCGTTACGGAACTATATCTAATGGTTACAGAATGATGTAACAGTTACAAATCTCGACCGAATGATTCCGTAACGAAACTGTAAAATTTTAAATTTCCCAATAATATAATATGAGCAGTTCAAAGTTCAAACACTTTCAAAACTCTTCAACGTGCTTGAATCCTCGAACATTGCAACAGGAAAACCATGTCGGGCTGGCTCAGAAATACACATAAAATGAACCAGTGTTGTAACTCATGCGATGCACGAGACATAATATAGAAAATATTTATTATCAAATATTTTAAATAATATGCCAATTTTATTCGACACAATATATCAAGTCTGTAATAATATAATATATATATTCAAAATATTTTTATTTATTTTTGTAGGTGTGAATTTTATTAGTTATTAGTTTATAAAACATTATAAAAGTGTAATATTTATAATATAATAATTTTTTTACAAATTACTTGTATGTACTTATATAATTATCGATTATATTAATCTTATTTCAGCAATTCATAATTTACGTATTGCTCGATAATTGACTAATGCTTAATTCATAAAATTAATTTTCCCTATAATATTCCTAATTTCATGAAATACTAACTTATGATAATTAACTTTTAATTTTAGCAACTTTTATCTCTTGTGAAACACAAATTTCATGGTAAATATTTTATTTTGAATTTAATGTTTTGTTGTCTATATTTAGTTATTAATTTATATTTTTATAACATATTAATAATTTAATTAATAAAAAAAATTAAGAATTTTGATATATGATATATTTCAATGACTACGAAGCTATAATTTCTATTATTACATGACTATATAATTTTATTTACTTGTTTTTCTTTATAAAATAGTATATAATAAAAAATTTATTTTTTAACACCTTGACTAATATTTTGTTATGTATATAAATATTTTAATGTGAAATTTATAATTCTTAATTTCACTGACCATCAAAAGATAATTTACTAATATATACTTTAATTTTTAAGTAGTATTATTAATACAAAAGATATATTCAAGAGCGTTTTAATTTATTCACAATTAAGTTGAATACATTCTATAAAAGTTTATCAATATTTTAAATTATTCGTTAAGCTAATATAATTCAAACATAATTATTTAAGTCATGTTATTATATATCGTAACTGCTTTTGATTGGTGAACATAAATCACATCTACAACCATGAAATACTAATTAAATTAATCGAATTAATTATTACAATTATAATGAATACATTTTATTTTAAAATTACGTAACCAAAATTATTACGAAATTGGTATTATGGTCTTATTAAAAATACTTGTAATCAATCAATCATTCTAATTAAGTCAACTTATATTTAATGTGTAATAGCCATTGTGTAAAGAAGAAAATAACTATTTTTTCATATGTAAAGTTTGCTAATAAATAGAGCTTAATTATATATGAAACATTAACAAAAGTTTTTTCATGCCCAAAACTATGTCAATGATGTCTGGTAATATATATAGGTACATTATATAGATATAAATATCGATCTTTATCAACCTATATATCATTTTAGTGATTACCAAATGTCACTTATGTTACTTGAGTGTAATTTTTGTTTATTTTTATTAAAAATATATAGTTTAAATTTTATTTTTATCACAAATAAAGTTTAATATTTTGTTGTCCATTTTTTTAAAAAAGAAAAAAATTCACCCAACCATCAAAACAAAACTTGTACTAAAAAAAATATATATTTGGGTATATTATTAAAAAAAAGAAATAAAGACATGCACGACTCTTTGAGATCAAATTTTTATTTAATCAATAATTGATATAAATTTTCTCAATTTTTTAGTGAACTAATCGATTTTAGTTTTATTTAATAAACTAATGCCGAGTGGTAATTGTCAAAACTTGGCCTAAATATTTGGGAGGAAAAAATTATGACAATTATAATAAAATAAATTGATCAATTATATAGATATAGATTAAACTCCATCACTTATTTACCACCACAAAATATAGGAAATACTACAGTCCCGTTACGATTTCATTCTGTCGGGATTTGTAACCGTTAGATTATTATGTAATCGTCGAGAATAGTTGATCTAACAATTACGAACCCCGATGAAATAGTTCCGTAACGGGATTGTAGCATTTTCCCTAAATATAACACTACAGATACACCGTTCCCTCAAAACTCCCAACCAAATTCACGTACACAAGCAATTTTCATTAAATCTCCCTATTAAGTGCGAAATTTCAACAGGTAAAAGTTAAAAACTCAATATGCATGTAATTTTCTTCTTTACGCAACCAAATATCCCCATCCAAATATCTTAATTCCGTGGTGCCGCTGGCCACCGGTCGTGGATAACATCCGCGGTCCTGTTCCCACCCTGCCAGCCACGGGAGCTCAGCCTGTCTCGGTCGTCACCATTAAGTTGGGTAGCAGAAAACGGACAGGAGTCCGTTTGCGGGGTCATTCTTTCATGAGTTTCGACGGGCAGTTGCGGGGAGCTCAGCCTATCTCGGTCGTCGGAGAGGAGTTTCGACGGGCCGTTGCGGGTCATTCTTTCATGACCCTGGCCCGGCAGGCCGGGCCCAGTCCCCATTTTTTAATTTTTTTAATAATGTTCTATATATTTTTTTTTAAAAAAAAATGACGACCCAACTCTGACCCAACGCGGACCCGACCTACCCGGTTACATTTGACCGGCACGAGCATAGGTCACTACAAGAAAACACTTCAAATCCAACGAAAAATTGCAACAGCAAAAATTTCCGTTAGAAATTCCAATGAATATTTGATGGAGGAGATCGAACAAACATAATAGACGATGAAGAAAAACTCATTCACAGTATTTTCATTGAGCTGCGGGAAATTACAATGAGTGGCTATAATGCATGTTGCCCTATCTGGAGACAAAGTTGGTATTTATATACCTTCTCTTTAACCTAACCTAGAAGCAATGAGATAAGACTAAAATACCCTCATGGGTAAAAATAGATAAAAGAGAAATAAAAGAAAGCTTGATTAAATGTAGCTGCATGTACGATCCACGTAGACAGTGGAAGACTTCATGCCAATGATTTTATGCTAACACCCCCCCGCAATCCAAGCGAGGATAAAGACAGAACATTCAAGAGCTGCTTTAAGCGAGTGAAGGATTGGCCAGACAGCGGCTTTGTGAGAGCATCTGCTCGCTGATCATAAGCAGGAATATGATGAACAAGTATACTCTTGGATTGTACCTTGTCTCTGATGAAGTGAAGATCAACTTCGATGTGTTTGGTGCGAGCCTGAACAACAGGATTCGAGGCCATGAAAACAGCACTTAAGTTATCAACCCAAATAACTGGTGGGATGGGTGAAGAAAAGTGAAGTTCATGCAGTAATGATTGAAGCCAAAGCACCTCAGTCATAGCAAGACCTAGACTTCTATATTCAGCCTCAGCACTGGACTTAGAGACTGTGTGTTGCTTCTTAGAACACCAAGAGATGAGATTGTGGCCAAAGAAAACACAATGTGCTGAGGTGGATTTTCTGTCATCTGGATCTGAGGCCCAATCAGAATCTGAGAAGGCAGTCATGGTAAGATGGGAAGATTTAGTGAAGTGCAGACCATGATCAAGAGTACAACATAGGTATCTAAGGAGTCTTTTAACAGCCTTCCAATGAGAGTCTAAGGGGTTTTGCATAAATTGGCTAAGCTTATTTACAGAGAAAGAAATGTCTGGTCTAGTCAAAGTAAGATATTGAAGAGAGCCAATAACCTGTCTGTAAAGTGTGGGATCAGAAAAAGGAAAACCTTTGGTTTTGGATAAGGGAGGGTGAGAAATCATAGGTGTGGACATAGGTTTGGCCTTGTCCATTTTGATCCTTCCAAGAAGATTAAGAAGATATCTGGTTTGGTTTAAAAGAAGACCAGAAGAAGTGGAATGAACCTCAAGACCCAAAAAATAATGGAGAGTGCCAAGATCTTTGAGGGAGAAGAACTTGGAAAGCTGAGAAATAAAAATATCCACCTCAGAGGAGGAGCTACCTGTGACAATCATGTCATCAACATAAACAAGAACATAAATGATAGAGCCATGAAGATGTCTGAAGAACAATGATGTATCATTCTTGGAACTAGAGAAACCAAGAGTTTGCAGAACAGTATTGAGTTTAGTGAACCAAGCCTTGGAGGCTTGCTTAAGACCATAAAGAGCCTTGTTGAGCTTGCAGACATGAGATTCTTTGCCATGAACTTCAAAACCAGGTGGTTGTTTCATGAAAATTGATGTTTCAGGTTCTAGAGTGCCATGGAGAAAGGCATTATCAATGTCAATTTGTCTAAGCTGCCAGCCTTTTGAAATAGCTATGGAAATGATGAGTCTGATTGTTGCAGGCTTTATCACAGGACTGAAAACATCAATGAAGTCAATACCTGGAATCTGAGTAAAACCTTGAGCCACAAGCCTTGCCTTGTGCTTGGATATGCTACCATCAGAGTTGGTTTTAAGTTTGAATACCCATCTACAACCCACTATATTAGTGTTAGGAGGAGGAGGGACAAGAGTCCAAGTGTGATTTTTTAGAAGAGCTGAATATTCTGAATGCATTGCCTGTTTCCATGGTAAAGATTGTAAGGCCTCAGAATGGGACTGAGGTTCTAAAGAAGAGGTATACACTTTAGGTTTGAAAATCCCAGCTTTAGACCTTGTGGTCATTTGGTGAGTGGGCTGAGGATGTGTATGAGGTGGGGTAATATTAGAGTGGAGCTTTGTTATGGGTGTAGGGGGGTTTGGTGGAATTGATGGAGTTGATGGAGTGGGAAGAATGGGAGTAGTTAAGGAATCTGGAGAAAAAGAATGTGGCAGAGAAGAATCCTTGAGAAAGGGGAAAACATTTTCTTGAAAAATAACATGTCTGGAGTGGATTATCTTACCATTGGACAAGAGTATTTTGTAGCCTTTATGAAGATTGCTATAACCAAGAAAAATTCCAGGTTGGGACCTTTGGTCCAGTTTGTCTGAGTTGTAAGGCCTTAGAAAGGGGTAGGCTTTGCAACCAAAAACCTTGAAGTGAGAATAGGAGGGAGATCTGTGAAACAAAGCTTCAAAAGGTGACTTGAAACCAATAGTTTTGTTAGGCATTCTGTTAATTAAATGAACTGCAGTGCCAAAACAATCATCCCAATAGTGTTTGGGAACTCCAGAATGTGACATTAAGGCTAAAGAGACCTCAACGATATGTCTGTGCTTTCTTTCAACAGTACCATTCTGTTGAGGGGTGTAGGGGCAAGAAACTTGATGAACTATGCCATGCTCATTGAATAAAGGAAAGAGTGGTTTGTATTCAGTGCCACCATCACTCTGAACCATCTTGATCCTCAAGTCAAACTGATTTTCTACTTGATTCTTAAAATGAAGAAAAGCAGCAGTAATGTCTGATTTTTGTTTTAAAAAATACACCCAAGTGTACTTGGTGAAGTCATCAAGAAAAGCCACATAATACTTGCTGCCATTACTGCTAATGGTTTGACATGGACCCCAGAGGTCTGTATGAATAAGTTGTAGAGGAGCAGTAGTGACATGAGTGTGAGGAGAAAAGGGTAATCTATGTGACTTAGCTCTAGCACAATCATCACAGAAATAAGAAGCATCATCATTAACAAAGCATAAACCAGACTGCAAAAGAGCCTTCTTAGTTACATCAAGAGATGGATGTCCAAATCTTTTGTGCCAAGTGTCCAAATTATTAAAAGAAGCAGAAAAAGTACTGCAAGACACATGATTTAGAGATGGACCAGTGTCAACATCACTGGAGACAGAAAACTTAGCAAAGGAAGTTGCAACATTACTGATCTTGTTAGATGGTAGAGCTTTCTTGAGATTGAATTGATATAAGCCATCCTTAAGCTTCCCTGTGAGAAGAACCCGGTCTGTAGCTTGATCCTTGACAAGGCAATAAGAGGGATAAAAAATAAAGTAAACACCATTGTCTTTTGCAAACTGAGACACACTAAGTAAATTCTTAGTGATAGCTGGCACATGAAGAAGATCATTAAGTTGAAAAATATGAGGTTTGTCATGAAGAGTATGAAAACATGAGTTACCAATATGTGCTATATCAAGAGAGGGTCCATTTCCAACTTGCAACTTATTGCTGCCTGCATACTCAGAGCCAATGTTGAGATTGGCAAAATCATTTGTCACATGATGTGTGGCACCTGTATCAGGTAGCCAATTGACTTCTGAGTTTTGGTCTGCTGTGGTGAGCATTGCTGAGCTTTGGTTGTAACCTCTGCCATAAGAATCTGGGGAGGAGTGTCTTGAAGAATCTGTGGCTTGCTTAGGAATAAATTCAGAGTTAAAACGATGATAACATTTGTCTGCTGTATGATTTCCATAGCCACAGATCTGGCAGACTACCCTATTGCCATAGTTTCTTCCTCCCCTTCCTCTATAAGATCCTCTACCACGAGAAGATTGTCCACCTCTTCCTCTTTGAGAGTGGTTTGAGGAGACTCCTCTTCCTCTGGCAAAAGTGACATTAGCATTAGGTATCACGTTGTCAACTGAGAGCTTGGCATTAGCCTCAAGCCTGCTTTCATAGCTGAGAAGGAGAGATATGACATCTTTTAGAACAAGGGTGTCTCCTTTGGCAGTAATTGCCACCACCACAGCATCATACTCGCTTCCTAAACCTCCCAAGACATACATCAGCTGATCTATCTCTTTCATCTTTTCTCCTGTGCTAGCTAGAGCATCACAACAACTCTTGACCTTGTTGAGATATTCTCTCATGTTCATGCTTCCTTTCTTAAGATTTTGAAGCTGAATCTTGTATTGCATCTTTCTTGCAGTTGTTTGGCTGGAAAAGGTCGATTGAAGAGTCTGCCATATGTCATAGGATGTCTCTAAACCAACAATCGAGACCAAGAGACTTTCTGAGAGTGAGGATAAGAGCCAAGAGGCTAAGAGTTGGTCCTGCCTTTGCCAAAAAGTGTAGTCTGGGTTTACCTTCAACAAGCCCTCTTGCTCTGCTGGGATAAAACGAGCTGGGATGATGATAGTTCCATCAAGATATCCCTCTAGACCGTGGCCCCTTACTGTGATTAGAACCTGCTGTTTCCAGATGAGAAAGTTTTCATCATTGAGTTTGGTTGAAATGATTTGGTTATGGAGTTCGATCGGCTGAGAAGATGAAGAATTGATTGTTTCCTCCATTGAAGGATCAAGATGGATCAGAGACAGAGAATTAATCCCCGCTCTGATACCATGATGGAGGAGATCGAACAAACATAATAGACGATGAAGAAAAACTCATTCACAGTATTTTCATTGAGCTGCGGGAAATTACAATGAGTGGCTATAATGCATGTTGCCCTATCTGGAGACAAAGTTGGTATTTATATACCTTCTCTTTAACCTAACCTAGAAGCAATGAGATAAGACTAAAATACCCTCATGGGTAAAAATAGATAAAAGAGAAATAAAAGAAAGCTTGATTAAATGTAGCTGCATGTACGATCCACGTAGACAGTGGAAGACTTCATGCCAATGATTTTATGCTAACAATTTATATTCATTTACTTACATATTATAATCTATAAATTACTATCAACTATTATTTTACTATATCCTATCACATTGTAAATTATTTTTTTTTTACAAAAACGTATAAATTGTTGTTTTACTATATCCTATAACACCATAAATGAATTATATTTTATAAAAGTAAAATAACTACATGGAAACAAATTACATTGGATACATAATTGGTGTAAAAATCGCGTTATAAAACATTGTCTACGTCTGTCTGTGCACATGCCTGAAGGAAAATGTTCTGAGTAAATATATTATTGGGTTTTGTTTTCGTGCAATCGTTGTTTGGTGTAGGAAGGAATTTGTTATTACCAATCACTTGTTTGAATCTGGGGAGAAGGGATTTGATAATCCATTTTCTGATTTTCTTTACAGGTTTTGAGTGATCCACAAAAAGCGAACGATTTACGATCAATATGGCGAAGAGGGCCTCAAAGGCCAAGTGCCGCCACCGGATGCTGGCGGTCCCGGTGGTGCATCATTCTTCCAAACGGGGGATGGGCCGAATGTATTCAGATTCAACCCTCGAAATGCAAATGATATTTTTACCGAGTTTTTTGGATTTTCGAGCCTGTTTGGGGGGATGGGTAGTGGTAATGGAATGAGGGGTGGTTCGAGATTTTCCGGTGGATCAATGTTCGGTGATGACGTCTTTTGCTCTTTTGGGGAGGGTAGACCGATGAGTATGGGTTCAAGAAAGGTTGCACCAATCGAGCAGACGTTGCCTTGCAGCTTGGAGGAACTGTACAAAGGAGCCGCGAAGAGGATGAAAATTTCTAGAGAGATATATGATGCAAGTGGGTATGTTTTCAATCTCCTGTTATGTTTGATTTGTGGCTTTATTTGATGAAGTTCTTGATTATTGTTTGTCAAAGCTGAGTACCGACTTATTTCTTTTGTTAGCCTTTCTTGTAATGTCTATGGTGTCTTGTCTTTGGTGAGAAATATGCCATGAAAACATGCACAATTAATAACAGATAACCAAAATATAATTGTCAAAAATTCTCGAACTCAAATATTACATAACCACATTGCAAACCAACCAACTGATTAATTTGTAATATATAAATAAATAAATAAATACGGAAAAAGTATAATAGCATCAGATTAACCAAAAAAATGTGTGAATTACATAGAGTAAAATTTTGTCTAGAATAAGTGTACTTGCACACGTTTAAAAATTGATTGTATCGGGTAAACAACACTTGAAGTCGACTCGATGTTCTGGTGTGTGTGTGCGTGCGTGTTTATATTATTATATCCTAAGTGTGTCGACATGGTGACCCATCTTCATGAAACTGTCGTACTTTGGATTTTTGACTAGAAGTGATCTGTCCTGAGAAACTCTGACCTGCAGATTCATGGCTACTTATTGCAGATCATTGAAATAAATAAATAAAAGAAAAAAACTCTTCCTCCTTTAGTTGATTCATTTGAATTCCATATTCAACCTTGGGAAAATGCAACTAGATGACTTTTGACCAATCTGTTCCGTTTTAGCCATAGCTTGTGACTTGAAATGATCAAACGAGTTCACAATTTAGTATAATTTCATCTATTGTGCAGGAAAACCTTACCAGTTGAAGAAATCCTGACGATTAACATAAAACCCGGCTGGAAAAAGGGGACTAAAATCACGTTACCGGAGAAAGGAAACGAGCAGCCCAACATCATCCCTTCAGACTTGGTCTTCATAATTGATGAGAAGCCGCATAGTGTGTTCACTAGAGATGGAAATGACCTTGTCGTCACTCAGAAAATATCTCTTGTCGAGGCTTTAACGGGCTACACAGTCCACCTCGCGGCACTTGATGGTAGAAAACTCACTATACCTATAAACGCTGTGATTAATCCCAACTATGAGGAAATCGTGCCTCGAGAAGGTATGCCTATTCCTAAGGAGCCTAGTAAAAGAGGGAGTTTGAGGATCAAGTTCGACATTAAGGTTCCAACTAGGCTGACGAGCGAACAAAAATCTGGCATAAAGAAATTGTTTTCGTCGTGAGTATTTTTGAGGAAATTGCTTTTGTATTTTGTTTTGTAGATGTTCTGTTCTTAGTTGTGGTGTCCATTTGGAGGTGTTTGTTGGTCTACTATTCGGGTATAAAATCGTTGTTGTGATTGCCTACAGTAATATATCTGCGGCTCATAACCATAGCTTATAGTGCGAAAGGGAGTTTGGATTTTGGAGATGCTTGTAATTAGAAGATACAATGACAGTATATCTTAAAAATTTGTAATACTAAATGTTAAATCATATTTTTGGTTAATTTTTTATTTTGCTTTTCTGATTTATTTATATATATATATATATTTTTATTAGCTTTTATATTTGGGAGAATTTTATTGTTATATGGTTTCTTTTTATTATTTGGTTTCCTTCTCTTACTAGGTCTCTTACTAGGAAAGGAAGAGATACGAAGGAAGAGATTCTCTTATTGGGATTTTATTTTTCTTGGGCAAAAAGCAAGAAGAAAAACGAGTGTTGCGTGAATTTTTTATTTAAGCCAAGATCAACACTCATTTTGATTGGCCAGGCAGATTAATGTGATTGGAAAAGGAATTTCAAGCAGCAAAGTTTTTGGTGGGTGGCAATTGAAAAAGGAGCATCACATTTATTTGCTGGGAGCATTGGCATGGAGATAAAATCGAGCAGCTTGGTCTCTTTTGATTGGAATTGATTTTCGGAGAAGAACACAGACAAGCAAGAAGTTTGACGACAAGGATCTTCTGGGCTTGTGTTCTTTATTGCTACTGTCAAATCACTCTTGGGATTATTTTGTTATTCGCTTTTTGATAGTTTGATTTGATAGAGAGCATCTCGTTTAAACTCGCGTTTTATTTTTCGTAGTTCACTAGATGTTTTTGGATTGGATGAAAAACTCTACAATTGATTTGTTCTAGTGAATTTTTGGCATGTGGCCTTAGTCTACAAGTATTTTAACTTGTAGACTAATTTTTTGAATCGTTCGTATTTATTTATTTTCCGCTGCGTATTTTAATTCTTGATTTTCGTGTGAAATCTGAATATTTACGTACCTAAAATTCTAACAAGTGGCATCAGAGCGGGTCACTTAATTTAATAAGTGTGATTCTGATTTTTTAGGTACGTATGAAGTTTACGGGGTTTCCGTTACCCACACTTGTTCCGAACCGGCCAAAGTCATCCAACGAGACGATGAAATATGATGAATATGATGCATCCGAGGAATCCTCGGTTGAGTATGAACCTCAAACTGCCTCCGGATCTGATATTAAGATAACCATGAACGAATCGAGGTCAAGAAAAATCAGTCCAGCAGGTGTCAGACGAAATGTTGCCCGAAGTGTCATGACACCTGGCAGGTATGAAAATGAAAATTCTGAATTTTTTTGCTTTAACTCCTTGTTTTGTGATGCTTCAGGCAGGGATTTAGGTCCTCCGAGCAGCCTTCAATTTGTTAGGTTTGATGATCATGAAGAAGTGTACGTGGAACTTCATAAACGCTATATAGATGCCGTCTGGGATGCAGATAGGCTCGAGAAGGAGAACAATAAGCTAAAGGATGAGAATAAGAGGATGAAGTCAGAGGCTAAAAAGTTGGAAGAGGAGAATGATGCTTTGAAGTCTACGTAACCCAATTGGAAGTGACCATCTCTGGTCATGACCAAAAGTTGGTGAAGGTAAGAGAGGAACTTGAATACTCCCGTCAGACCTTCCAACGACTTAACACCGGTAAGAGTCAATTGGATGTCCTAGCTGCTCTTGAACATAATCATAAGAAAGCGGGACTTGGTTTTAAGCCTACTATATTTGTTCGTCCATCGGAGGAAACATGTGAGTCCTCAAAATCCACGCCTAAGGGTTTTAAGAATACTAAACAACGAAGGCGTCGGTATGTTTGCCATTATTGTCATGCACCGGGCACATTAGACCTTATTGTTATAAATTGCATTCATTTGATAGGTCTTTTGACCCAGTGGTACCTCCCGTATCTCGAAATATGCCCATAAACCACGGAACTAGAACTAAAAATAAATCAAAGTTTGTTTGGGTTCCAAAATCTGAGTTGAAATGCAATGTTATTCATACCTCTTTGAAGTCTAATATTGCAGGATCGTGGTACTTTGATAGTGGGTGCTCGCGTCACATGACCGGCACTCGTGAGTTCTTATCCAATGTAGAACCTTGTGAAGGTGGGCGTGTTACATACGGAGGAGGTGAACATGGAAACATTATCGGACGTGGAACGCTCAACGTTGAAGTCCTCCCAAAGCTCCTGAATGTGTTTTTGGTTGATGGACTTAAGGCTAACTTGATTAGAATAAGTCAACTTTGTGATGATAATCTCCATGTTAAATTTGATAGTAAGTCTTGTGAAGTTTTTGATGAGTCTAATTTATGTATTTTGGCAGGTGTACGAACTACCCAAAATTGTTATCGGGTCAAAAATGCTGAAGATGACGTTCAAGACTTGATGGACCTTCCGGTATGTAGTGCTGCTCCAAGTGTCGTCCCTGATGTCGCCCCCGATGTCATGACACCTGACACAACACCAGACACAGCATCTGTAGCGACACGTATCTCTGACGAGCAAAATACCATTTTTTAGGCTGAGACAAGATCTGATTATGATGTTCCTGATCGGAGAAGAGTAGTTCGTAGATCTCTTCCATTGTCGCGATCTTTTGGTGAGGTAACAAATGGTTGATTGTTTCATCTAATGGTAAGAAAGTTGTGTGGTGTTTTCAATAATGTTAATGATAATCGTTTTGAGAAAATTCTTGTGAATAATATGGTGTCTTTGCATGATATGAAATCAAACTTTTCTTATTGTCGACTTTTACGAATAAATCAAATGATTGAGAATTATTGTCGACATAGTGATTTCTCCGTAGATTGTGATAGCAAGAGTGCAATTGATATTTCAAAAAATCCGGTTCAACATTCTTGCACAAAACACATAGATATAAGACATCACTTTATTCGGGATCTAGTTGAGAAATACATATTTTGCATTGAGTACATAGGGACCGAGAATCATTTAGCCGATATATTCACCAAGACATTAGATTATGAGGGGTTTTCTAACTTAAGGAAATCTCTCGATTTTTGCATTGTTTGAATTAGAATAGGAATCGTGTTGCAACTTTCACGGTGCATCATCGTTGTAACACGAGTTTTTGCATACATGTATTTTTTTATTTCTTTTCATTCATATTTGCATCATTATTGCATAAACGGTATATTTGTTGAAGGCATGAAGTTGTAGTGGTGCATTTTTTCACTCGATAAATGGATTATTGGTCGTATCTTAAAAAAAATAAAAAAAATAAAATAAAATTCGCATGTTGGAGACTGTGAAGGGAAAGAGCTACCTACTCCAGAGAGTGCAGCTAATCCTTGTGACCGAATTCTTCTATAATTAAAAATATGTT